ATTTTGAGGCTTATAGCTTTCTTACAACACAAAAACACTCCTCTGTGATTTTGCTGTGGAATTATTGCAATTATGTGGATGCTCACAACTCAGAATGGGTAAAAGCTCAATTTTCCACCCCAAATCATTTTCCATATCCCCTATAATTGTAGTTATTAGAAAGATGCTTTAAAAGCTAGCATAGCATCTATTTCCCTCCAAGGATTTACCTTAAAAAAAGCATTTCCATTAAGGGCTTTAATTTATCAGGACTCTAAATCACTTAAGTGGTAATTGAAATATATTAGAAATAGAAATGCAGGCTTTTCAGAGAGTACAATGGATTGACTTGCCTGGCAAATGATGACCGTGAAAGTAATCCATTTGGAAATGACTTACAGTAAGCAAATCTGGCTTTTATTGTATGTTAACGTGACTATATAGGTTCAACATGAGGATATGAATCATTGCCTGTAACTTGTTATTCACACGTTTGGATCTATTCAAATCATTTGTGTGCGTTTTAACACGTGTATCTGACTGGATAACCGAGGCTGAACTAGGACAATGCTCCAATGACCCTTTGATTTATCTTATGAGTAGTGTCACTCTCCATTTACTGGATATGTTTAACTCGACACAACAAACCGAAAACACATTTTCTTATCGCTGGCTGATGAATAAGTCTGACTTTCAGAAGATTGTTTATAACAACAAGCCTTGATAATAAAATTGACCACAGTGTTCTTTGTATGACACTTTCATAAATGTCTTTTCAGGTTATTAAGTATTCATCTGAAAGAAATGAGGTCGCTTTCAGCAACAAACTGGATGACTTTTTAAAACTAGCCATGACATGAATTGGATACTGTGGAACAGGTTAACTGGAGGTCTTATAGAAAGGTTTCCTAGCCATTGCTCTGGCATGTCACCTTCTCCATCTGTACTAAAGCTCATCTATTACGAATGGATGCCAGAGTAATGAATCTGATGAATACTTTAGTATAGCTGGCTTCCCTTGGGCAACAAGAAATAGAACTTAATATGAGCAATATGCCTGCTTTGTACTGTTAAAAAGGAAAGGTCCGATTATTTGGACGTAGGACAGTATACATTTTTTCAACGCAAGTAATATCTCTATGTGCATATATCCAGCAGGAAGCCCCTCTCCCCCGAACAACAACCCCACCTCGACGAATGACAGTGCCTATTCACTAGACAAAAATTAGGTCAGTCGACGTGCCCAACACCTGATCCTGCGATGTGGAGCGACTGTGAAAGACAACAATGTTGTGCTGACAGCAAAACGGATCGCATTTAACATATGGTGCAACAAACAGGCAGGAGGATTTGGGCGTTTTATTAACGGTGACAGGTGTGCCCACATACGTGTCAGAAGACGTAAACCAGGTTTCCCATGAATAAGTTTGTTAAAATGCAGATATAACGGATGTATTCAGAGCCCAGTATATCTGCTACATCACCAATCAAGCTGTTGGTGATGAAGCAGGCTTGCTTATACTTTTAACAGAAGTGTCTGTGGCCTAATTAAAAAACTGCTGAAATGCGGAAAAGTGGAAAGGGTGCTTATCAGCTATGTGTATGGTCTGTGTTAAGGAGATAGTCAACAATTCCTCCTTTAAATTGTGTCCCGTGGAGTTTGAACAGCCACTTATTATTCCTCAATTCTGTCTTAGCAGCATCTGTGCTGGGGCGGGGGGCACCAGGCCATTTTAACTAGATGTTGTCTCTGGCACAAGTGCTTATAGTAAATGTCAGGACCTTTCAGAGCCATAATAACGACACAGTTGAGGAAAATGATACATGGTGCCGTTTTTGTCCTGGATGAGGCTGGAAAACTCAGCTCCAGTATAATCATGTACAGCCAGAAGAGATTTTCATCAACTGGTCCATTGACGTGAGGCAATGATTTTAGATTTATACGGATACCAGACTTTCAAACTAGTGACAGGTCAATTTTGCACCATTACAGAGACTAAGGCATGTGGTACAGACCTTATTTTGTCGCTGAGGCCCAACTGTCAAACAGAATTACAAAAATAAGCTTGGATCGCTGTCTAGTTCTAGCTGTGTACTGCCCATCATTGTCTCTATTTTCTGCCTCTGTAGAATGTCAAATCTCAAGCATATCTTTTGTCTACTTTTCATCATATTGTACATGTTTTACTGGTAAAATGGGAAAACAGCCATTCATGTACTAAGCCCAGAGCATCTAAATAAGAATATACAACAAACTTTAAAAATAGAACTGCAAATTGTAATCGTATGGTAGCAGCCGACAGTTAAGATTTCAGTCTTCTCGGATTAAATTTAAAGACAATAGCTCTTTGCTGTTTATTACAGCTGCTTATCCATGTGGAAGAGGCTGCAACTGATACCATGTCTTTCCAGACAGCATGGGGAACTGTCTTTTCATCCTGCTGTTCCCTTTAAATTCATAGCCAGATGAGTCATTTACAGGGAAGAGTCAAGGTTTATTCATCTGAATCCAAATGATATGAAACCTGTGTAACAGGGTGGGGAAGAAAAGGGATGTGCGACTCCTCTGAACAATGTGCTCCCTGTGGAAGCTCACAGATTTACAGCTATGTAAAAAGAGGCAGCATATGTGCATAACTTGAATGTACCCATGTAAGAGGCTTTGAAGAGGCAGGACAAATCATTTCAAATACAAGGGCATTTTGTTAGAGGCAGAATTGGCTTTGCTTTTAAGTAACCAAATGAGATTAAAGGTTGACGATACACGTGCAGTGTAAGAAGCAGAAATCGTTTAATAGATGTGGACCCTGCCTGACATGAATCAGAGCAGCAGTAATGCAGCACGAAGAACTGAAGAGGGAAATGAACATATGACAGCGGACGTGCCTCTCGGGAGCTACTCCATAATCCAAAGGCAGTGACTAATTGCGTGCTTCTGGGTTTGTCAGTATTTGAGAATGGTCACATTTTTTAGCCAGCAATCAGCTTTGGGGCACGGCAAAATTGTCCTCTAATAGTCCAGGGTCACGACAACAGAGAGTCTCAACAAACAGGCAGTGTTTTCTGCACCGAGTTCCTCCGAGTTGGCTCTCAAGGCAGATGAAAAAAACAAAGGAGGAAAAAAGAGGGCCATGGTTGATTGTGGTTTGAGAAAATGACTCTGCCAAGACAGGGAAGGCCTTTGTCTTTACTTGGGTGATGACAGTGTTTTGCAATTAGATGCAGACTGAGGAACAAGTAGAGCTGTATTACAGGCTTAAAATCTGTATCAGGTCAACAGGTGCAAGCGAACTGATAACATCACATTGGCAATATTCACACAAGTGAATGGATGGTTACAGCGAGTGTTGAATAAACCATTAATTAACTATAAGAGAGAGGCAATGAAAGCATCTTCAGAGTGTTTACCCGAACCATTTCCTAGATTTCTACACTGCATTTACTGAGGCAATGACCCGCCTGTGGAGTCTGTTGCCTTATTCAGGGGGTGGGAGGCATCGTGTTTATTGAGCTGATTCATAGTAGAGGGATAATCTCTGGCCCAATAAACCATCAGGATTCAAGCAAAGCTTCTGCCGCTGATCACAGCCAGCTCAGATTGACACCAGGGAATTAGACGCCCCCTCTAAAGAGACAGTCAGAGGTGGAAGTCTCTCTGATGGGACGGCCCTTGGGAATAAAGGAAACATGTTAAAAATAGTGAGTACCCCTCAGCTGTTACCAAGGTAATTCTCCTATGAACACCGATGTATCCTCATAATGAGACGCCCATCTCCATGCCGCCACAGATGATGACCTTACGTCACAGACACAATTCCCCTCTTTAACAATCAAGCATGAGACAACATCGACTAAAAGGCCACACTGAGTGGAACTTTAGACAGTTGGCTGCTCTGTATTCAGGTCCACACCCAGAACCTCTCAGAGTCAACATCCACAGAATTCATATTGAAATTGGGTAAGCCTGCCCCGCTCAGCCTTTCCTCACAGCCATCACAGCGGATATTTGATATGGGTAGAACAAGATATTATCAGAGTCCTCGGAAGAGTTTGCTTCTTTTGCGCGTACTCTGTGTACGCGAAAAGAGTTAGAGGTTTAACAAAACACTGGAATGGATCATGCAGATGTATGTCACTGTCTAGAAGATAAATGAAAGTGTGCAGTCAACCCTATTTTGAGGGGAACGTTTTGATGATATATATTATTTTGCATTTCTAACATCTGTAGTGTATGGGTCCAAACCACGCCCGTGACAGTTAATGTACCTGAGCAGCTGGCATCGTAGCGTACGTGATGGAGGGAGGATGGGGGTGAGGATGGGGTGAGAGTTGAGGGAGGAGGGAGGGAGGGAGGACGGGGGAGACATTGCCATAACTCGGCTGCTGATCTACAGCGACCACACACACTCTCCAGCCTCGTTTTGAAACTGCGACATCACAGTGTGCATCCTGCAACAACAGCACACACACATAGAAACCAGCAGGATGCCACACATCCATATAAACATGAGATCCTTGTTTAGCAACGGACATGTTGTGGTGAGATTACATAAGCGCTCCTGTGTGTTGGGGCTAACGTGACAACTCGAGCGATACTGTCCCATTTACAGCAGCTTTAAAACCCGAACACACACACACACACACGTGAATCTCTGATGAGCTCAATGGGGAAGCATCTCAAAACTTTGCCGTTAGCATCCCAGCTAAGATTTACTTGCCGCCGGAGCAGCTTCCTGCTTAGCGGCCGTAGCACCGAGCGTCTCCCCCCTCAGCTGCCTCCCTCCCTCCCTCCCTTCCTCCTGTCAGACGAAAAACAGGGACGGGGGATGGAGGGAAAAATGACCCATTGTGTGTTCACCGCCGGCTCCGAGTGACAAACCCGGAAAGTACTTCACAGAAAACGGCGTTAGCTAAGAGAGTGATGCGCGTTCAGCTCCCGCGGAGGAGCGAGTGAGTGAGAGCGGGAGAAAGTTGTGTTGCGTGTTACGGTGTTAGCTTGTGTGTGTTTGTGTTGTTTGTACCTCAGCAGAGCCGTGTCGCCTTGTCTGCTGACCACACTTTCCACCGAGGAATAGTCCACAGTTTGTCCGGCGGGCAGACAGGACGGCAGGAAGCAGCACAGGCTGAGGATGATCGCAGTGAGCCACTGACCGGAGACACACGCATCCTGCACCGCAGTCATTATGTCCATCACAGCCGGGGTTTGTTGTCGCTCTTCCCAAGTAACTGCTTAAAAAACAAAACAAACCAGTGTGGATGCTGAGGAGCAGATGGGGGTTTCGCTTTAAAAGAAAAAAACAAAACCCTCGACGAGAACCAGCGCGTTTTATTCCCACACTTTTCCCTCCTCGCAGCCCCGTGAAGAGAACGCTCCGCCGCGTAGTTTCCCTGGCTTGAGTTTGGTCTGGATGCTGCGGAGCCCACCACCACTCTGCTGAAGTGAGCTCTCCAGTGGCTCGCACACCATCTAGTGAGGAGGAGACGCGCTGTAAAATGGGAGCAGACCTAGAAGCAGACAACCCCCAGGCTCTGATCTTGTTGCCATGCGGCCGTTTCCCGGGCAACCCTCTCCCAGTGGCTCGTGATGGAGCGGTAACAGCGGGAGGTATCGATACGACCCGCGAGCAATTAAAGATATCGACTGGAGAACCACCCCCACTATTTGTTCACCCCCTTAAGGAAATGCGCGTTTGGGCGAAAATAGGGGCTCAGTGCTGACAGTGACGCAGGAGTCAAATCCACAGGAAAACTGTGGGAAAGATTTCTGTCTCATACTCTTAACAAAAACAAAAGAAAAATCACAGACTACTCATGTGCAAATGAGCACCATGTTATCCATATGAATGTTTTATTCTGCTCCACAAAATACAATCAAGATATTATTTGGAGTTCCTTTTTTTATTATTCATCATTAAGGGGAACTGCAAAAAGCATGTGGGACCTCACACACACACACACAGACACACACACACAGACACTGGGGACTTACAAAGTTTGTTTTAGAGCCCTAGCCTCCTGCATTATGCTGCTCTAAGCCCTTTGACTTAGCCCACATAAATCTCCGCAGACTGTACAGCCGTAGCCATAGAAAAGACACATTTCACTGAAGTGACATGTTGGCATGGCGCCGTTGAATCATTGCAGTTGACACATGGCTTGTCATGGATATAACAAAATTTCCTTGTGGACTTTAAACCAACATTAGACCAAGCAGTCAGGCTTTGTGCAGAAATATTTTTGAAAAGATTTCCAGTAGAATGACTGTGGGCATGTTCTTATTTATTGAATATATTCAAGTAACAGCTGTTAATCCATGGTGTAAGTAATCCCTATTGTTATGATTCATCCATGCAGCCATTATTGTTCCATTGTTTTCATTTGTTTTATTGCCTTAGCCATGGAGGTTATGTTTTTGCAAATGTCCAGTTGGTTGATTTGTTTGTCAGCAGGATTATGCAAAAACTACTGAACAGATTTCCACAGAACTAGGTAGAAGAAAGGGACATGGGCCAAAAATGAAGCTATTGAATCATCATGAACTGACATGACTTAACTTGCCAGTGGATTTTCAGAGGTTGAATTAACAACTCAAAAAGACAATGAAGACAGATTTAGCACAGTATCAGTGTTGCGACTCATTTAATAACCTTTGTCAAGGAGGTTATGTTTTCACCCCTGTAGAGTTGATTGGTTGGTTTGGCAGCAAGATAACACAAAAACTACCACACAAAGAATTTCCATGAAAGTTGGTGGACGAACAGGACATGGGCCAAGAAGAGCATGTTCAATTTTGGCACGGATCCGGTAAAGAAAAAGGGATCCAGGAATTTTGTTATCACTTCCTCTAACAATTTTCATAGACTTCCCTGGAAATAATGCATGAATTTTGTCTGGAAAAACTAAGCATATTTAGGGTATTGATAATGTGTGATTTCGTGTGGATCCAAATACAAATCTGGATTTAATGGTCCAGATTTAGTTGAAAGAGATCTATTGACAGAAAGTGAATATAAAATAATCTTAGTGAAGTTTTCACTAGTGTATAATCACCTAAATTCTACAGATTGTTGTTTTCTTTACCTGGGAGTGAGCCCTTTTTTTACAGTAGCCCAGACTGGACAAGCTAAAAACTTTTGAGTTTTTATGATAACTGAAGGTTCTCTCATGTTTGGAAGGGGAAGGTTCAGCTGCAACATGCAACTTCACCACTAGATGTCACTAAATCCTACACAGTGAACCTTTAAATGTGGTTTTATTTGTCGGCTGCACTGTACAGTAATACATTTTGGCACCAATCTGGACAAAAAGCCAGAGGAATTTATTTAATCATGTTTTTCAACACCCTTGGCAGAAGTGTGCGCTCGACTGAGTAACATTGTAGTTGCTGATATTAGTTTCCATTTTTGGGTTTATATCCTATATAAACTTTCCTTTTCCTCTGAATCTTATATAACACTTGCTTTTGCTGAACTGTTATACTTTCCTTTATTAATTTCCCCGAGGGGATCAATACTGTTTGATGATATTTCATCTTAAAATCTTGTTGCAGTCTGTGGTATTATCAAGATGCACTGTCTGGAGCAGCTCGAAATTAAATAAAGTGAGTGACTATGAACTTCTGAAGGGATTGTTTCGGTTTCACACTGAAACAGGCTTCATACCCTTTCCTTGCCATTTGTTTAAAACCAGGAGAGAATGAGCCCTGATCTTCCATAAAGTCATTCTGGGTTTTGCAAGTGTTCCCTTTTTTCATCTATTATCTTACCTGAGGAGATATATTGTTTATCACAGTGAGAGAGAGCGAGTTGGGGCACATTTCTGTTTGCAGGCCCTGGCTGTGACAGAGAGCCAGGAAACTGGTTTCCAGAGGTTACAAGGGACATTTCACCGTGTTGGAAATGAGTCAACAGTCAATGTTCCATGACAAGCAGCATTAAAGAGGGGGAGTGAAAAGTTCATCTTGTCATAAACACAAGTCTAATTTGCATAACTGAAGCTCCCTCTACTGTTAATAGCTGTGTTGAGGCCATCAATACAAATTCTTACTCTGTGGTTTTGTGTCAGAGGTGTCTTGGACTGGGCTGAGACAGTCAGATATTTTCCATCCAAATCATGTCAGTCACAATGTCGATTTTTAAAATTTTCTCTGAGCCCTTCAAATCACCTCAGAAAAATGTACCTTCCCATGCATGAAAGCTATAATTACAATGACTCAATTTGGTGTTAGTGCACTGTGCAGAGGGGGGAAGAAGACTGGCAGCCTCTAATATTCAACACATAATAACCTCAGGAATTATGAACGCGATGAAAGAAATCAGGCATCGGACGATCATCATGTCTGAATTGTTTTGAGTAATGGATAGCTTGGATGTTGCTTCGTAGTTTTCATAACCAGCTGTCGTTCTGAGACAGGGGCAAAATCAATGCAAGCAATTTGTTTTAACGGAGAGAGAATGAAGTGACACACACAAAAATGGACAATTTTTTTCAGGACAATGCATTTCCCTAACTTGATAGATTTAAACACGATGTTATCAGCATCTTCACAAGTGAACCATAAACCCACGAAGAATGGACTTGTTTGTGTCTGTGGGAGAGTTTATGGAGACCATCACCTGCGTTAAAACTATAAGTTTTGTCTTAATTGTATGCAGCAATGTGGCAAAAAGCACCGAAGCATATGTTGCCTTATGAGCCTGAACCAAATAGCCTCAACAAGAAACCTTTAGTGCTTTTATCCATGTTGTCACACTATTTTGTTCAGGTATATTTGCCTTTACTCACAAAACCAACCTTTGTTTACGATCCCAATTTAACGTGAGTAATGCAGCATGTTTGAAAGCATGGTTTTCTGAAGTAGTTGAGTGCATGGTCATTTTTCTGTAATAGTGATTTGGTTGGCTATTATGATAATGGTTGACATCCAGCAGGGAAGTGTGCCAATCGATCTCATCCGACATCGAAATATTGTGAGTGCTGAGCAATTCTGTTATATGCATCCCTGCAGCCTGGGTTTCTGGGACATGAGAAAGATACATGAGGGAATATGTAAAGATAATTGATCTCGTATTCTCATGATCCATGTTTTAATCCCCAAATTCCTTGACAAAGGCTGCATGTAAATCAATTTAATAATTACAATTGTTGATGTGGAACAACCCTCTCGCTCTCCTTCTCATTTGTCTTATTTGTTTTTACATAGTAAATTGACATAGCTGGCTTATGTAATTTTTAAACAAGATGATGTAATACATTAATTTGCAGCATGTAGTCTTAGTTAATTCACAAACCATATGAATAATTCATTCACATTTAATTTTACATCCTCTGGTTTAAGACATAATCAGCATTTTTAGGACGACAGCTTCTACATTTTTAGACCTCAACCAAACATGTCTTCACAGATGTCAAACAGAGGGCTTCAAACTCTTCCAACGCTTCTCATCAGCAACTACTGAACGTCCTGACCATAGACTGCATATAAAGATGGACGATATGTCTCCACTTCCTCCTTTAAGCTATAATACCAGGATACAAGTGCCGGCATCTTGTGTACTTGGAGCTAAAGTCTGTGCAGTAGCGCTCAGAGGATGGAGCCACAGTAGCGAGGTCCCTTCAACAAAACGCGCTCTACCAATCAAGATTCTGTCCCAGCTGTCAATCATGAAGTTTCAGCCTGTTTTTATAGAATCAAATAACTCAAACCAAACATACCAGCAAAATGACCACTTGACGAACATCATTGTGTTAAGATCCACCTAAAATGACAAACATAATCTTTGAAAGAAAATGGATTTAGGTGCACCTTGACTTTTTAGTTTTGTCTGTGCCCCGTCCGCTAACACGGAGTAGGCAGAGTTAATTACCTATATTGCAGATGGCATACTAGTTCAAGTGTGTCAAAGTGTGTATTCAGCAGCAACACAAAGATGGTTTGAAGTGTTGAACAAAATAGTGAGTGATAGATTTGAAAGCTTTTATATCTGATATATCTGAAGAGCAGAGATTCACAGTTAAAAGTAGACTGGATGTGTCGACCTGCAAATTCCAAAAATTGCACCATCGCAGGTTTGACATGCCACATTTTAAAACAAAGTCTGACCTGACTTTCTAGGAAATAAAACACAAGGAAAACCAGCTGCTTGTACTTTTGCCCAGTTTTTCACATAACAGATTCCATTATGGTATAGTTCAACAACTGCCACATGAATGTACAGAGAGTACTGCATTACATTTCTCAAACTGTTCCTTACTGTCAAAGTCCAAATGGACATTTATAACTCAGATGTAGCGAGCAAAACACACTTTGAACAAACTATGGAATTTGATATATATAGCCCTGAAGCAGTGAATTATTTTGAGCAGTTCCTTTCTTTGCCTTAGCTGTACTGCACATGTGGGATAAAAAACTACAGCACTCATGAGTCATAACTGATTTGTACTTTCAGACAGCACCTACCACATATCATACATGGTGAATAGTTCAGAAAATTCTCCCGAGTCATTAAAATATAGCAAGAAACAGATCTTGTAGCCCCATGAATGACGTTTACACTGAACTTTCTGCAGGCGGTGCAGCACAGCCAGACAAGTTTAAAAGAGTGAAAAGTTCATCTTGTCACAGAATATGTTTAGAGTCGGCAACAGTGAAACATGACTGACATCTTTATAGAACTTACTGTAGTTTCTTGTTAATTCGCATCACTTAAATGTGGAGCAGCTGTCTTGAACAGTTGAGTGCCCAGTTGGCAGGGTACAGAGTGGTCTGTCGTGTACCAACTATGCTTTAGGCTACATAATAATTAGACTCTGGGAACCAACAATGGATGACGCACACATTAAACC